GAACCCTCAGTAACCCCGGCAAGCATCTTATTTTATTTTCGGTTTTTAGTTTATTTACTTGTCAAAAAGACACTAAATTATTTCACCAAAACCTCAAACTATCAGGGTCAAACTTATTACCCGATACTCCAGTGGGATTCAACTCAGGGCTTTATGCAGGCCAGTCAGGAGTGACGTATGTTTTGATTTGTTGTTGTGCTGGAAGTCAAAGCGATGCTGACTGCTTGAGGTTTCTTTCCTGCCACCCTGATGAGATCACAGTTCCAGACACATTGCAGCGTCCCCGCAGCAAAATACTCCCACCACCGTGTTTCACTTTGGGGACTGTTCTTTGGGTCGTATGCCTCTCCCTCCAAACACGAGCAGCATCTCTGCAGCCAAACAGCTGTAGTTTAATCTCATCTAACCAAACCTTCCAGTATGCATAGTCTTCCTCCAGGCTATTGTTGGGATAGTCCAGTCTGGCTTGAATGTGACTCTTCTGACAACGTGGAGATTTTCTCTGTCTGAAATCTCGAAGTCAACAAAGACACTGCGTTTAGTTGTCGTGCAGCTTCCCTGCCTGGACGCCTGTGTCCTGAGCTCCATCGCCCTTCTACAGTCCTCGACACACTGCTCTGAGGCTCTTAATGCTTAACAGCGTATTTGAAGCATATGAATGTCAAAAACTGTGTTTAAAAGCCTGCACTCATCTTCTTTTACTCTCCTGCCCTTTCTAATTGATCCCAGAGGTGGATATGTGAAGCACAAGCCAGCTAACTCATTCACCAATGTGTCAGCAGCTGTTCTGGGGCATTTTAGACACATCTCACTCTAATTTTCTTTCAAGAGTCTTTGAAATGTTTTCCTTCCTACCTCTGCCGGGCTTGTTGTGTACTGTGTGAAGAAACTCTGTTGTTGTGTGCAAACAGAAATCTAGTGTATTTAGAAATGTTATGTTATGTTTAAATCCTGTCAGGGGGCTAATAATTTTATCCTCATCTGTATAAGTCAAATTGGATTGTTGTTAAACATTAATAACAAGCTTCTAGTTCAGTTTGACAGCAGCTTCTGCCTTCTCTTCCAGGGAGAGCATCAGCCTCACCTTCCCTCGATGTCCTCATTACCCTTCTCACACTGGGAGTCTGTGGCTATAAGAAATACTTGTCAGAAAGAAAGGTGAGAGTGTTGCACACGTCACCTTTTTATACGGCTAAAAATAGTTCCTCACTTAGTTAAACGTGGCTGTTATGTCTGCTGGATGTTTCCAACATGTATGATGAGAACATTACGGGACTGCAGGAGTATCAGGTGTATGTTGTAGTCGGTCTGAAAATGTCTCTGTGCCGTGTCAGCGTCTTTCCTACTAAAAATGGCAATAACTTATATAAGTTGTATTGAGTTGCAGTTGGCTATATGTTACAGTTTTCTGTGTGTGTGTCCTTTTTTGCTTCACCTGCATTCTCACTGATGATAGAGACTGTGGACTTGAGTGTGTAGTGAGCTCTGTGAAGGAAGGAGTACACTATAGAAAGATAAAATTGATTCTTTGAGAGTTTGAGAAAACCTCCCCTGGTGGCTTCCTGCTTTAAAGCAGAGTTGCTCACAATGCAGCATCCTCCTCTTTCGATGATCGGCACTGCAGCATTCTCTCTCCTCTAAACTGCTGCTGCGCCGTAAATGTGCTGCAACTGAGAGAATCTGTTTGTCCTCACACTCAGAGCACAGAAACTCGAAAACGAGTAACACTTTAGAGTTTTTTTAGAAATTACCCCGGATTCATATATAGAAATTACACGTGGCTTAAAGATCTCATATTTAAAAATGATGCCATACAATACTCAAAGTGGGATA